TTGTTGCACAAACAGATGATATAACTATTTTCCTGTAAAGGAATGATTACCAATCCCACATATTTATAGAACATCTGCTCGGATATTCGTTTCTGCATCATTGCTCCCCCAGCATGCACAATTGATCGTCTTAAATTGCAACCGGAAGTTGCATGATTCGAGTGATCAGGGAGCATCTGTTTCGAGCTTTAATGCTGCCTTTTGATATGATATATTGCCCTCTGTCCCCGAACCCGATCAACTAACTAATCGGTAAACGATTCTAGAGACAACTACTGTAATTTCGCTATAAAATACCTCCCCCCCTTTTAAGATGCAGGTGGGGGAGCTATTGACTGTGACGCAATTGGAGGTGGCCATCAAAACGCAAACTTATTATTAGTAATCTATGCTATTAGCTGCAACTTATGGGTGTTTCATAAGAGCAAAACCTTGGCCACTTTGGCACCGGCAACCCCTTGCCTCCATCAATCGCTAATGCAGGGCACGCAAAGAAAAACGGAAACCCAATCCGAATCCGAAATCCACAATACCCCCGGACTTTTACCCCACACCATCCAAGATACCCAGATATACCCGTAATTTAGCTGGGTCAGCGGGGCGACCATTATGAATATTAAATATTTGCTATTTCGAGTGAAAACAAAACGAGAAACGACATAAAATGCGCTCTAATCCAATGGGCAATGGTGTTTTTCCACTGAATTATGAACCTGCTGCAGAGATATCTCTATTTAAAATCGTTGATGAAAAACAAAGTTTGTCTTGGTGACTTTAAACTATCGTTCTTAACGATGATGCCTCATGTTTGGCACAGCCTCTTGAAGTTTTTGCAAATTAAAAACATGACAGCCAAACCATTTAAAAACCTTTTTGTTTAGTGCTTTCTTGACCTAGTCATGGTAAAAAATTATCATATATTTTAAAAATATTGCTCGAAAGACAGGTACTGCAAAGAAAATTTGAAAAATTGCATTTTGAGGATTTTTAAATTGGTTTTCCATAAGTGTTAAAGACAGCTTTAAACTTATATTAAGAAACACGATGGATGAATAAATATTATAATGCGAGAGAATTATACCAATCGCACTTCCCTAGTTTTAATTGCTCTCGAGACCTCAAACAGCCAGTCATGTTTAGATCGACTTGGCTGTTAATTATAATCAAATATGATAAGTATAAACAAAAGTTCCGATGCTCTGGCTTTTATAATTTTTGAATTACTTCTGTTCGTATAGTCCAAATCGCATTGAACATTAATTCAGGGTATTAACAAGTATGTATACTTTATATGGCGTTATATGGTTTACAAACTTAGATATTTTTGTATTACTTTGAGTTATTTTAAAGATTAATAATATATTTTTATGGGATTCCCTCATCTTTTATCTAAGAAAACGTGCCTTGAAAACCAAAGGGTTATTCGCCAAAATCGACATCTGCGAAATCATTTGCCGCGCATGTGTTGTCATCATGAAGAGCCAGTTGCTCGACGATGGTCTTTGGGCCTTTTGTCAGAACATCTCACTTAAAGTGTTGACTTTTAAATGGCAGCCGGCAGAAGCTAACCGAAACAGCGAAATGAAAAGAAAATAAGCGACGAAACACCAGAAACGCCAGCGGCCAGAGAAATAATATTTCCGATTGTCATTGACTTTGTCCTTAGAATATTTGAGACAACAGCAAAAAAAAAGATGGCAACAAATGAAAACGTCAGAAATTCGTCTTTCTTTTATTTTATTTTTATTATTTTTTTTTGAGCCTGCACAAGACAGCCGGAAGGATGCGATGAAAAAGTATTCGCCAGGAGTTGACGTTTTGACTGCTTCCTTCGAATGTTTGGAGACCGGATGCTGGACATCATCGCTGGACATCTGGGCAATCGGTGGGGATAAACAGCAAATCGCACATCGCAAACACACACAGGAGGAGGACAAAAGGCAACTTCTGGGTTGTTGAACTAAATATGCCAAATGAATTGCAGGTGTCTTGAGTGCAGCGACCCACGCACACAGGAAACGGCTGCCGTTGGTGCAGCAAAGTGTCCTTTCCTATCCCATCCTAACCCATCCTCTCCTGGTGGTGGCCACCCAGCACCCAGTGCCACCCACCAGGACACATGCCCCACCACCTGAGGAAAGCCAGGACACACACACACACTTAAGCCATTTCACGCTCGCGGTGCTGATGACCCTTTGGCGGCCTGCCAACAACAACAACAGACAGACCCACTGAAGGACCCTCTTCGAAAGACCAAGCGGCACTACACGGAAAAAAATACGTATTTGATATTCGCATGGTACACTTTGTATCACTGAGTATTGTAAACTTGATATTGAGTAATGGAATATCTTGAATTTCCTCTCTTTGAAAAATCTCTCTCAAAATAGAGAGAAAAGAGCGAGATATCGCTTAAAATTACTCTGGGTAAAGAGAGACAGCAATATTCGAGACTCTAAGGACCAGTTGAATATTAGCATGGTATTATTTTTACCATTGAGTAATGTAAACTTGATATTAAGGAATGACATATCTTGAATTTTTGCTCTTTGCAAAGTCTCTCTCTCAAAATAGGTAGAAAAGAGCGTAATAACGCTTAATACAACTCTATGTAAGAGCGAAACCGCAATATTCAAAACTCTCCTAAACAGAAAAAGAGAGCAAAAAGTAAGATGGCGAACGTTTTAAAATAATATACCCCTACCTATATAGAATTTTTACCAATTTTCAACCAAAATCATCATCATATCTTATCAATATTTTTTCTCTGTGCACCTCTAGTAGACTTTATGGGAGGCTTGTTGCCCTCTAAGGATGTGGGTAAGCGAGTCCAATGTCCTCTTTAGACCAATGTTGTTTACGACATTTGTTGTGACTCGGGGACTACTCGAATTAAAGGACTTGGCTGAGCATAGCATGTCTTAGTTTACAAAGAAGAGACAGAGAAAATCACGAAATTGAATACACTTATGGATCGAATTCAAAGCATTTGATTAACTACCCACCAAAAATATAGCTTTGGTTGCATCATTTGGCACGCAATTTCCACTTGACCTTGACGTGCCATCCAGAACTTTGCCTCCTTCTCGAAGACAACCGCCTTGTACACACTCCCCAACTCTACGCAAAACTCTTTATCTGCCTACATATACCCTATGACATCACTACCCGAATCGCGAATCGATAAAAGGTTTTCTTCTCTCTAGCAGGCCGTAAACAAAGCAGCAAATTATAAGTATAATATGTCAAGCTTTTGGGATCATGTTAGACTCCCATAACCATCGGGTCAATTTAGCATACTTCATTAGAGGAAACTCGCATGTAACCAGAACCAAGGTATTTTTAAAGACGGGTACCTCTTCTTTTAATAATAATAAAACTATGTTATATTGTATATAAGTTGCATCTACTAAGACAAGTCGATATGAAAACCTGACTATATAAGTAACTTAAGCAAATGAATATTTAAAGTGTTATATGGATAATATAAAATAAAGAATATTATAAGGCCTAATGACCAGTTCTAATTGCTGAAACTGTTAAACAACACAACGGGTCTTAAGTTCAAGGCAGGTGGCTCTACTAATATTATTTTGATCACCGCTGTTTATTCATAGCGTTTCCCATGCCAGCTTATCTATCTTCTCGCCTTATCAACCCGTCTCTGCGTCGGTGGCGAAAGTTTCCTGACCCTCCGCAAAGAAGCACTTAAGATCGGTGGAGAGTGTACCGACCATAAAATACCTGTCCCTCAGGTCGTTATAACTTTACATCCTATCGTGCGAAATTGAAACCAAACCAGCACTACGAGAATTATACCAAATATTTGGAGGTTCATCAATGAAAAACTTGAATTCATATGTTATGTCTTTAATCTTGAAGTCCTTACAATATAAACTTTGAAGGACCATGTTAATAATAATATTATATTTACAACTTTGACGTAAAGTAACTTAATATATAATTTTTATTTATATTTAGTTAAGATTACCAACTTTGAATATATATTATGTTATAGGTGTACTTTGACTTTTTAGCTAAGCAAGTAAGGTGCATTATTTGTTTAAGCAGTTATATTTATAGCGTGTAAAAATGGACTAGTAGAATGTAAATCTTAGAGGTAACAACTATTGATTAACTTTTACAAAGTACCCTTAATTGATTTACCAGACAAATATGCCCTTTGGCCGCTTAAAAAAAACAAGGTATAACTTGTACATTGAATGTGCAATCGCTCCGGCCACTTGAGTTTTGTTTTTTATCAGCGCAACTCGAAAGCTGATTAACCCCAGACCACATACTCTTTCCCCCTTTGAAAGTCAATTCCACTGCACTGATTTTTGTTTGTCTGTTTGCAATGTCATTTGGGAATCTATTTATATTGCCTGTGCTGTGGAAAATTTAGAGTTCCAGAAAGTGGCGCACAGCAGGGGTCACCTGAGGATTTTGCAGTCCTACTGCAGGTTGGAGTACCCCCCTCCAGGAAGTTTCCTTCCATTATAATTTCCACCGCAGTTCCTGTATCTTACGGGTCAAAGGTCAGTTCCTGAGTTCACTGACACATAAGGGAATCGATCAGGAATTGCAGGTATGGTAAATAAATGTTCTCAGTTCTAATCAAAGAACTTGATAATAGAGCGGAAATAGATAATTTTCGGGACCTCAAAGAATGTTCTACCCCTAATACAAGCATGATCAACTATGGTATTTTTGCAAAACATCACTTGCACTTTTAGGCGATACACCCGACTGAATTCGGAATTGATCTGCCCATTATGTTCTATAATAGAACCGTCGCGTCTGTTTCGCTTTCATCTTTTTTTTTTTTTGGTCGCCAACATGTGTGAAACATCTGACAGCGTATTTTGCCATGTCATGCCAAAAAAAAAAACAATGGGCTATGAAAATACTCGGTTCTACGAGCTTACCCAAAATCGCTATAAATAGTAGACCCCTGGCAGACCCTTAAGTTCTATGGAGAACTTTCCTGCTCGTTGAGTGTTTTTTTGTGAATCACAGTCGATTGTATCTTTTGGGACGTGCCAAAAGTAGTTAGCCAAGTTGGTATCGAAATCTAAGTGGAATTTTTAATTAACCAATTTGTATGTGTGTCAAAATGGAAGTGTTAATGCCTTTAGATGTTTTAAATTTTAATTATTTTTTCCATTATTTTATAACTGCAGTAAATTGTCAGAATGCTTCATGTGCCGTCGGCGGTTGGCCGCTTAATTGTTTGCCATAAGCGGATTGGAAAACTCGTAAAACGTCGTCTAAAAGTGGGCAGTAAATTATCATATATGTATTATGTCCGGCATCATTATCATCATTGTTATTACATAATGTGTCCAACGAGGTGGAAAGTGTTTTGGTTTTTTGTATACCAAAACTTTTTATGGAATATGTACATATGTAAGTTCTAATCGAGAAGTGACAAACTTCACTTAATGAGGCCAAAGCAGTAATGTTAATTAATTTCCCCCAAGTTGGCGCAAAAGTGTCGAACAAACAGGCCGAGAAACCTGCTGACAGGTTCAAGTGTTGGCTGCTGGAATCGAAGAAACATGAAACAATGGCCCAGGGAACATCTTAAGACCCTCGAGTTGGCAGGCGCCAACTTCACAATGCAAATTGCCCGATAATTGTTTGCTCAGCAGGCAGCCTCAATTGGCCAAACGATGTAATAAAATGGGGTTGTTCAGGATGGAAACAGTTTCGTTTCACTCTGAGGTACCTAATTGCGGGTATTAACATCTATAGCACTAGCTTACAGAGTACGTTTTCCCTTTTGGAAATATATACTTTTTTTAAAAACCAAAAATATATATCTTTTGAAAGTCTTGGTAATTCATTTTTGTAGGTTAGTTAGGTAGTTCTAACCAAACTTTTCAAGATTGTAAAGCTCTAGACAGAAGTTGTTTATCATTGGCACTCAAAGGTTTCTCATATCACTATTTCTCAACTACCAATTGGGGCTATACAATGATCTTAACTGATTGACTGGTTCTTAAGAGCTGTTCTTTTTTGAGTACTCTACTTTGTTAGCTAGTGTAATTCGAATGCGTCCAATAGGCTTTGTGCGTGGTGGCCAAATCCCCCCTCTATTTGCCTGTCAATCTGCTCTCTCTCTGGCGTTGACTCGCTCATGCATGATTGATGGCATTGATTGATCGGCGGTGAGTTGGCCACGGGGCGGGGACCTAAGATACGAGCAATCATCTGGCCGACTGATCATTGTCATGTCGATCAAATTAGCAATTAGATAAACAATCGAAACAATGAATTAATGCAGCCCATTCAACGCTGCTCGATCAAGTTATGACTTTGTTATGAAATTAAATTGCAAAGTGCCTAAATTAAAATGTTCAAGAAGATTAGAAGGCTGATTGGGTAAGTGCAGCGAATTTCTAATGCCCTAACAGAAAATATTTTTAAAACTAATAAATGTTTTATAAATAATTTAGGTATACTTTTAGAGGCTTGCTAAACGAAAACTACTAATTAAATTAACAAATTTGATTAGTTTTTTATAAGCATAAGCTGCTGATGCTTCGCTTACCACCTTTACTGACATAACTTAAATGATCTATGATTTTTAATGGAAATGAAGTTGATAATCTAATATTATAGGGCATCCCCAGTTCGATATTTCTTCACCTGTCAAGTGTTTTTCACTTCGCAGCTCGTTTTGGGGCTCAAACTTTACAAATTTCCTGCGCGTGCGCAAAGTGTCTCAACTCTCTGATCTTTTCAGTTTGCTCAGCTGTGCGATCCAGTGCTTGAAATCAAAATGAAAATCAAAATCAAACTCAAAACTTAATCAATGCGCGCGCTTTTGGTGTAAATGGCTTCGTAGCCAGGTTTATCGAAGGCAGGTTTATTTTATCTATCTCACTTTTGTGCAACTGCCGCTGAGATATTTTTGCACAGTTGCAGTTTTGCAGTTGAAGTTGCAATCGTCCGGCCGGCGGCACGTTTTTGTCAGGGTTGCCAGCGTGAGTTCATTTTAATTGCCAGCACATTCCGTTGTCCACACACAGATACTCACTATTCACTACTCACAACTCACAACTCACAACACACTACTCACTCATTCGGGCCAATAGACTTCAGATAGCCACCACTATCTAAGGAGCTTTGTAATGAGCGGGGATTGAAATTGCTGGCCAGCATTTGTGCCTGATTGGTTTACCCCCAGCACAGGCAGGAACTTCACAAAGCTGCTGCCATAATGATCTCAAATGACTGGTCAGAAGTTCATTAAACTCTGTTTGCAACAGGAAATATTTGCATCAATTGCATCACCACTTTGAGATGGAAATCATATCTATACTATAAATGTAAAATGAATATACAAATCAATAACTTTATAACACTTCAATAAAATTCAACTGATTAGGAATATAATAAGGTAGGGTCTCCTCGAAGATTTAAATAATAAAATCAAATATAGATTGTATTTAAAATTATCCAACTTTGTAAAAATAATGTTATTCCCAAAGACAATCCACCATTTACATATGCTAAAGGGTATTCATCTGTACTGTATTCCCAAACTATTTGGTCTTCGATTTATCTCTGATGTTCATAATTGATTCGCTTTGCAGCTCTCTCTATTTCGGCTTGGTTAATTTCTGCTCGCGAGAATGGGGTTTTCTCTGTGTTTTTGCCAATTCTGTCACATTTGGCGGCGAACAAATTAATTTCTGCGCCTACATGCACTAATTGACTCGCATATGGGCGTCTGTCTGATCTGCGGCGGCGTTTAGTAATCCCCAAGAAATACAGGCGGGGGTAGCAAACAGAAAACTGTTCACACAGATGGGAAAGTTACTACTTTGTATACTCTGCTCGAGGGTATTGGATATTTGACGAACTGTTTGTAATTATTGTGGATTTTTAACAATCTATATAAACAATTGGGAAATAACGAAGTCATTTGCTTAATTTTTTCGTCAGTGACTTGATAATGCCAGGGAAAGTTTTTATTGAAAAATAAATGTTGGTCTAATCCGCTTATGCTTTTAATTTTTTGTAATATATGAAATACACGTTTTTAAAGCTAATTAAGGTATAATTTAAGGGGGAAGGCAGCGCATTTACATACTACCCATCTACTTGGTATCAATGCCTGCTCATCTTTCGCTGCCCACACAAAAGCGAACAAAAGACGCTGGCAAGACGCAGCTTGACCTACAAATGGCTTAATAGATAGGAAAAGCCGACACCCTTACACCTGGTTGAATGCCACATGGGTGACATGGAACATGGGGCATACGGAGAACTTGGGGGAGACATGCAACATGGAACCGAAGCAGATCAAGTGCACACGTGAGAACATTCACACATGGACACTGGCACGCAGCAAATGCAAATGGTTAATTAGAAATCAATTGAAACGTATATGTGCTCGTAATTGGCCAACGCCTGCAAACTGCCAACTGCAACTGAGAACCGCCAACTGCGACCCAAATACGCCACCAATTGGATGTGGCATGCAAACTGCGACGACAAACCAGTTTGGACTATGCCCCAGCCCCTGCCCCTGGATCCCCATTCACATTCATAGTCCAACTTCACCAGCTAGAACTTCCCAAAGTTGCATTTTCTCAAGCTCAAATCGAATTTTAGAGAAACTTTTATAGTTCTCAAAATTCTTAAAAAAGTTTAAATGTTATTATTTTAAGGAAAATATTAGATTGAGTTAAACTAAATTTTAGACTCTAGGGTCTAGACTCTTGAAAAATTGCAGTCTGCTCGTAAACACTAGAAAATCCACGCTCATTGACTTCGAAAGCAACAAAAGGTGTTCGTTCAACGAGTTAACTAATCGGCACTTGTGTATGAATGAAGTGTCAAAAGTATTGCCGCCATAATACTATTATTTAACGTCTTTTCCGTATCATTATACTTATTTAACAAGAAACTATGGTTGCTATAGAGTGTAGTGGCTCGACAATGAGATACCTTGCATTTCATTTACCTCCTAGAAAGTAATCATATACCAAAATACCATTATGCGAACATGAAAAATACCATTTTTGATCAAACAGTTTAGTTTTTGGATGGTATCTTTTAAGATCCTAAGTTTAGTGCTGATGCAAATGCAAGGAAGAATTGCTATTTGTTCTCTACCTGTTATTCTTAGAACTTGTTTGCTGGAAAATTGTAGGAAGTGGTTCTTTTGTAATTCTTAGGTCCGATTCAATGGCAAGCTCACTTGCACTTTTTTTGTGTTGATCCGATGTTCAGAGACTGTTGTCAGGCAATTTAGCTCACTTCGCAGAAGGTTAGAGGCAACTGACTCTTTGGGCAGCTCTTCGCCTTATCGCCCGCCGCAGGTTTCTCATTTTTATTTGTATATTTTCCTTGTATTTTATTTTTTATATTTCTGCGGGTCTGGGGTTGAGGTTGCACTCACAGCCGCGTCAATGCACAATTTGCATGCATGTCACGTTCCCTGCAACGATGACGGCTTCGTCACCTGGCCAACGCACAGCCCCCCAGAAGAGCAACAAGAATTTGTACATTTCAGGCAGGAATATTACAAAAAACAAGCCATACAAGCGGTTCGGTTTATCTAAATCCATGTGGAAATACCCTTTTTATGTGAACTTGATATTGCATTAAAGAAATCTTTATTAAAATAATCGTTATTAAATATTAATATGATTTGTCTTTTGTGTTTAGTTTTATCACAATTATTCATAAGTTCTTATTTAACAAGCCACATATTTTTCCTATTAGCTCAACTTTCAAGTCATATAAGTATTCGTTGTTACTTTGTTTTAGTACTCTATTTGTAGCAATCGTGAGCAAAATATTTAGCCCGTAGAAAACAAAAATTTTAAACGAAAATGTGGGCAGTCAATTAGGAATCTTTGGCCATGATTTGGTCGGCTGGCGCCTTGATTTACGATCTTTAAGAATATCAAAATAGAAAATAAAATGTTTCAATATTATTAATGCAGATCGATTAGTTTATATTGCGATTCTAAGACAGTGGACTATTCAAACAAAAAAAAAATACATTTTCTCAGAAGTTCTACCTTTGTAAAAACCATTTTTCTTTTAAAATGTTTATAAATCTAATTTTATTATGTTTTATAGGGTTTGATCAGTTTTGTTTGCAAAATGTCTCCAAAAATTTAAAAAAATGGTTTGAAACTCTATGATTTCGGGGATTCCATATGATTTTGACTATTTTTTTCCAGTGAGGGCCTGCTGGTGTTGCATCGACTGTGAGCAACGCGGCTTTGTGTAAATTGGCAGTGCGTAGCGAGGCAACAATAAGAGCTTCTGCATCTGCGAGACTGTGGTCACAGTTCATTGAACCGTTAGAACACACTTTGCCTTGCCGCAAAGATGCCGAGGAAGATGCATCCCGATGATATGGATGGAGTCCATGTGCCTGTAGATGTTGCACAGACAAAATATGGCACGCTCTCACGATTGTGCGACATTTTCCATTTCGATATATCAACTGATAGTTCAAACATAATTATAAAAACAGTACTCTTCATAAAGAATAACACTTCGGTTAAGAGCATATTTATGAAATGATTGTATTTTAGAACTTTAAAATATCCACTAAATATAGCTGATGAGTAACGCTAACGAGCATCTATCCATATTTTAAAGATGTGTCAAAAATTGCTGACTTATGCGGAATGCTGACAATTGTATATATATTATTCTAAACAAGAAACAATGCTAGTTTCAGCAATACGAAGTTTATATACCCTAGGTTTTATAACCAAAATGAATTTGAAGAATACAGTTTTCATAAAACCAACAAAGACGTTGGATTACATTTATATTATAATGGAATATTATATTATCTCTATTCCAATATTGTGAGAATAAATTATTAAAATATATAATATTAGCTATATAAAAACTGGATACAATCTTGTTAATTTTTTTTTTGGCAATCCAATTTTCTTTTAATTCCGCACAGCCATTAAAACTCTAGCTTGTCAAAGTCATGTTCCCTTCTCGTTTATTTATTGTTAGTATTTGTTTAGCTTGTTATTGAGCTTATTTTTTACTGTGTGCCCATGCCAATGATTCTGGAGGTGCCTTGGTGGTTCAGACAAACACTTTAGAGCGTGTCAACAGAGGCACCACCGAGCCAGAAAACCGATGCTTTTCAGTGGTTTTCGGGGAGGGGAGGTGGTGATGATGATCTGGCAGCGTTGCGAATTGTGAGTTCTGCTTGGGCTGGCCAGATAAATAATCTTGGGGATATTATAGCGAGAACTACCAGGGTAAATGATGTCTCATAATATATACATCATATGCTGATAATAATGATATTTCATCATTTGGAATCTGTAGACTTCAGAACACTGAATAACGTTTCAAAGACTATAGTTAAATATTTAAAATCCCAAAAAAAATCCCTATTTGCATTCCTTATATACATATTCATTTGCCTCAAAATCTGACCCCAAGGACAAGTCGTTTTGGACTTTGTCCCTCGAGGAGTCTTTTGTATTTATGGCCCTCGAAACGCGATAATCCGTGGGTGGCCGCTGGGTCATCAGACGCACATGTTTGGACCCCCAACTAACCACTTGACCCACATCCTTGAACTCTAAACTGAAAACGCGCTTTCGGCGACCCTTTTTGTGGATAAACACTAAGTGAAATATTTATGAAATCGAGCACAGCAACATGAAACTAAGGCGCAGCCCAGAGAAAATGCATGTGAAGAGGCCGCATTGTTCGTGTGAACATTGTGTTAGCGACATCGAAGGCCAAGAAGGCCAATGCACCAAGTGTTATTACCAATATGCGATGTGTGCCCGCCACATCAAAGCACAATTCAGCGGAAGAGCGGTTGACTGGAGCAGCATTTAGAGGGGGGAATCTTCCCCAGGGAGATCATCGCCGCGAAGCCATCGTGAAGACCATTTAAAAATAGCAAATCCAAACGAATCCCAGCGTTTTACGGAGGCTTGTCGCATGTCTCAGTGCCGCCACGATTCGTTTGGAGGCCGAGAACAGAAATACAAATAAATGAAAAGGAAAATCAGCGGGGCGAACGGAAAAACATGTGTCAGCTGCACCGCACACACCGATTTCAAAGCCCATTGCCAATGATGTCCGGTGGGCTTGAAGATCGTAAAGAACTAATATTAAGTATTCGTAATAATTATATGGAGGAATAAGTTAAAATATTTGAAATCCCTATAAGAGAACTGAGAGAAACACAACCATTGCGGTAATACAAATGGTCATATATACAATTATTATACAAAAATATCATCGTAAAATTTACAAGCAATAAAATGATATAGTACCTACATTTTAACAAAAGGGTGACAACTTTTTATATTATACAATCATTGTTATGGTTTGGAGGTTTAAACAAAAAGTTTTAGAGAAATAAACTGGTTTTGCAGGAGACTCATATGTTTATAATCTTATAATATCATAGATCCCCACTTTGGCATAGTTCATTTAGTTTCTCTGCTGTTTTTCTATCTGATTTATATATTTCATATCCGTTTAATTTCGCGTAATTTTTATTTTTCAGTGATTTTGTTTTGATGTTTATAGTTTATACATGAGAAATTTTCTTATATTGGTTTTTAAAATAATATTATTTTTTCTGCATATGTATACTTCTTCCTATTCAACCTTTACATAATTTATTTATTTGGCATTTTTATAGACCTAATATACATTATTTTTGCTATGATCTCCTCGAATGCTTAATATTTATAACTTTTGACTATTATTTAGTGGATTTATCTTGGATTTGATATTGTATTCTTCTTTTTATGTTAATTATTTCCCTAATCTATCGTTATAAATCCACCATGATCCCCACTTTCATTAATACATACTTTAGTAAACCATTTAATTCCCATTCGATGATTTTATTTAAATGTTTGTTTAAACCTTAGATACAAGGAACGTATCTTGTAAGTTCAAAAGTATCTTTTAGTTCGATATGGCAAAGGAAATCCCGCAAGGCAAACTTATAAACTCACCCAAAAAGCAACAACGATTGTGTTGCAAGTTGCAAGTTGACTTCTTTGGTTCTTCTTTGGTTCCTGGTTCCGTATCTACCGCTGTTGTTGTTCTTGCTGTAGGCTTAAGATGCATAGATGGAGAAAAAGAGATAAAGATGAAGGGAGAGCGATTTGGAGATGGAGAGAGCGAGGGAGAGAGCAGGAGAGCAGCGGTAATTGAATGTTTGGCTTTTAATTAAGAAGAAGAATTGTGGCACCCACGCCATGTGGGCGGCGGGGGCGTGGCAGCCGCTTATTTTGTTTTCTTCGCCTCGTTCTTCTCTCTCCCCCTCTCTTTCTGGCTGCTCTCTCTTTTTGGTTATCTAATCCAAGGGATTGGATTGACCCTTTGGGGCAGGTGACATTTTGTTCGTTTTGTTCATTTTGCGACTCTTATTTTTTTTAGAGGAAGCAACTGCAAAAGCGGAAGTTGTTGTTTTTTGCTGGGGCTGCCAATACGGTTATTGATTTTTTGCGGCAGCTTGTTGTTGCTGCTGCTGCTGCTGCTGCCGTAAGCCGAAAAAAAGGCGTGTGGCAAAGAGACAGAGGAGAAAGGAGGGAGAAAGGCAAGGAGGAGAGAGAGAAGAGGGGAAAAGCCAAAAGAAAAGCGCCGCCTAAGCGCATCCATGGACAACACACACACACACTTGCAGGCGGAGAACAGCGAGAGGAGAGGAAAACAAAGAGGGGGAGCTGGAGTAACAAGAGAGCCGAAAAACGAGTTAAGACGCAAGACAATGCAGATAAAGCCAGCAACAAAAACACGGCCAAGAACAACAACAACAAAAACGTTTGGCGTCGCGGCTCGCTCTTCCTCTTCTTCAGCTGCCACTGCATTCGTATTATGTTTTTGTTTTTTTTTTTTTCTTTAAGGAAAACTCGAATTGGAATCTTTACCAGCTGCGTTTTTTAGTTTTCCCCCGACACTTCTTAAATGCGCGCGCGCATTTCCCCGACAAAAACGAAAACAAACTTTGTGTGGAAAAACCAACAAACAAAAAAAAAGAACAACACTGGGCACCGAAAAAAAAAGTGTTTAAAATCGTCGCGTTACTCAACGGCTTTCCTCCGATTTTCCGACGCGTTTTCTTCGGCTTGTTTGGTTTGTTTGGCTTGTTTGGCGTGGTTTGTTTGGCTCTCGATTCGATTCGACGCGATTCGTTTCGTTCCGACTCGACTCGGTTCTCGGTTCGGTCTGTTCTGCTGTTGGGTAGTGAGGTGTTTCATTCGATGTTTTTTGAAAAACATCGAAAAACATCGATGTCTGCAAACATCGATGATTCTGCACCTCTTACGTAGCTACGGCAACGAACTTACAACAACAACACCAAACACAACGTAAGTGTCGGCAAAGCTCTTTGCAGATATCGATACCCAGGGCGACTATCGATGGTTTCAGCTGACTAAATAGTTCAAATGAAAGCTTTTTCTAACCGAAATGTTTGAAGATCTAACAAATATGGTAAAGTACTAGAATTTTAAACAGTGGCATAAGAACTAACTAAGTATCTATATGTAAAATGTATATTATTTAATATTTAAACATTTTTCAAAACGTTATTTCTTAAATTTTTACCCCATTTTGTAAATTGTATATTTTATATGTTTATTGAAACGTAGTGATTGGTTTCATATGTACGAGTATATATTAATAGTTATATAGTATTTAAGCTTTGCGTTGGATATTTTTGAATTTCGCTATTCTACCGCCGAAAAATTTTTTTTCTTAAATGTTAACGTTTAATAACCTATACTCAAAATATGAAAAATATGCAATATATGTAAATTAAGCTATGATTAGTTGATTCGAACAACAAGAAAAATGCAATAAACGTTTGCTTGTGGTGGCCATTTTAAATTGAACTTTCAAATAATAATTAAAATCATATTTTTAATAAAAAATGCAGAAACCGTTATGATACTTTGAAACTAAGCTTAAAAATAAATTTTGTTTCCCAAAGATTGGTTGAAAGACTATCGAGATTTTGCCAGCTCTAGCGCGCAACGAAAGCTTCAACTTTAAAAATTCAAAACGGTTAAATTAGAGTGAGCCAAAACCCAATTTTTAGTAGCACTTACCTTGACTTATCGTTTAATTTATATATTTAGTGAAACTTGTAAAATTCTACCCTCCTTTTATGTCACCCATAATTAAGTTTAAAAAAAGGTGACCCAAAATTCCACTTTTAATAAAAATAATTAATTAATTAATAATTAATTTTATCCCAATTGGCATACCAGAACCCGAAAAAAAACAATTGGTTTTGTATAATACACTTCATATATTCTTTATGCAGGTATTAATACATGTATGCAAGTATTTAACACTCAGTGGCGCACTCAGAAGAAGACTGGAGGGTTCTGGCCACATAATATTTCAAATTTCTCCATAAACTATTATTGCTTAAGGTATTTTCTTCGCCATTTTCCACCAAACCCTGCCTTCTTATTCTGCGCACGCCACATTTACCATAATTTGTACAATCGTATGTATTTTTTTTGTGGGTTTTTGTAAATCTTCTTGCTGAATGTTTAGCTCATACACACTAAAACTATTAAACTGATTTCGTTTGTTGACTAGCATTTAGTTATTTGCTTTTTGTAAACAGCATAAAATGTAACTTTCTTATTTATGTATATGCCTCTAAGTAAACTAAATTATTGCACATTTTATTTAGGATTAGAACATAGTTTGCCACACGTGCCTGAGTGCGTTGGTGTGGATTTAAAAGATTCCTGCGGGCTGATCGGATCCGTCTGGATTGATGTCTTTAATGATATGTACGCTACGTTTTTGACTAATTGGATTCAAGAGTTAAGATCGCTGCCCGAATACTCATAGAGTAAAATTTTGCCATAATTCATAGTAAATATAGTTGCAGTGATGGGTTCTGCCTTTGCCTGCACTCGAAAGTGAAAAACGTAACGCTTTCGAATTTTATGAAAGATGTTTCTAAAAAATATGACAAATTTCGAATTTTCGATTTAAAGGGCTTGCTTTTTTCTATATAAAACATCTAAACATCTTTTGACTTATAAAACAAAGCTAATATTTCGCATTCCTTAAAAATTTTGGAATTGCCAACATATATGGATTTCACATAACATAGATTTGAACAACATTACGAATATTAAGTTGAAAATGTACTTTTCCCATCACTGCATTTTTTGAGTGTGAGTGAAAGTGAGGGCGTTTTGGTGTTATCTAAGTGTAGGGTATCTCGCTGTCGGTTCAAAACAGCAAGGCTCCAACCACATTAAGTGCCTGATGGTGTTGCTTTTGTTGTTGCTGCTGCTGTTGTTGTTGTTGTTGTTGTTGGTGGTGTGTGTGATACATGCTTGTGGTTGTTGTTGGCGATTTGAGTTCTTCCACTATAATGGCACCGTTCTCATCCACCAAGTGATTTAATAGTAAATTCTCAACCTGCTCATCGGACAGTAGCTCTTTAGGCTCTGAAGATCTGTAAAGTTAGGTTAGTTCTCATGTAGTAGCTTCACTTTTGGGGAGTTAAAAGAACACAAAACGGTGACTTGACAGAAATAAGTATGATTTATAGTGGTTTGATAGGATAGGTACATGGCAATTACAAGGGCTAACATGTAAAACAAATACAGTCGAGTTTCTTCCGACTAAAAACAACCCAGTACTCAGTTTGATTGCTATAAATAGGTTATGTTAGTTAGGTAATGTTACATAAACTTTAATTTCAAGAACTTATAGGATCTTAGAGGGTTTATGACAGTATATATACGTTATGAAATAATATGATCTTTCAATATTAGCTCTTCTATAAGAATTTTTACTTTGGAATATAAATCAGAAAACAGAACTTCATTGGAAACAATCATGTTGATATCTATGAAGAAACCTAATACAGTGATTTTAACTCAAATACAGTAAACTCAAAAGCTAGAGTACTGGGTTCTCAAAAAAAAAGTAACATTCAATTAGACAGAGAGGGTGATATGTGGATGACTCAGCTTAGAGGGAGAAAGCAATGTTTTGGATAGATAGCGATTTAAGACTAAGGTTAATGAGAGGAAAAGTTACGAACTAAAAACACAACAGATATTTCTCGATTTTGGTTTTTGCGTTTTGAGCAGTACATACAGAATTTGTGGTTAAAAGCGAGTGTGCGTTCGTGCTTGTTGTTGTTGTAGTAGTTGTTGTTCTTGATGTTGCTGTAGTTGTTGTTTGATTTTGATTTAGTTGATGTTGTTGTTGCAGTTAGTGGTGAAAGTTATATTGAGTGAGAATCAAAGTAGCAAAAGCAGAGACCAAATCAAAGCAGCCAATTATTCGTATTAGTATTATTATTAGTAGGTATTAAAATTTAGCAGTTGTTGATTGTAGTTGTTTTGGTTGGTAGGTTGGATTAGATGGGTGCAAAAATATTGCGCTGATCATCGCTGTTTCGGTTGGGTATTACAAATACATATAAATATATAATATATATTTCGATATTCAAATTGAAATTCAAATTCGGTTTCTGATACGGATTCGGATTCTGATACGGATTTCTGATACGGATTCAAATGAGCTTGGTGAGGCGGCTCTGCAGCGAGTTGAGCAGACTGCGACCGCCACCCCTGGGCCCATTACCGTCTACTGACCTGCTGAAGAGGAAAAAGTCACCGGCACCGCCGCCACCGGAGGATGCACCTCCTCCTCTTCCATCTCCTCCTCCTACGCCGCCGAAAGAGCCACCACTGCCTCCGCCGCCGGACACTGCCAACGAGTCCGTCGCGCCGCCCAGCAGCGCCTCGCCCTCGGCTCCACCACATCCATCGCCGCCCATCTCCGATTCGCTGTTGCGCCGCTCCAGGCTGCGTCCCACCTTCTGGAACCCGTAGCTAAACACATCCTTCACCTTGTCACCGGCATCGATCAGCAGGTCCAGGCTCTGCCGCCGCCCGCTGCCCTTGAAGCTATTCGAGCGGGACAGCCATTGGCTGAGGCTCTGCTTCCGGCTCATTTGCTGACCAACTCCTCCTCCGCCGCCTCCTCCACTGGAGGCACTGCTGTCATCCTGGAATATCGTCGTGCAGGTGACCTTGCGCTTTGGCTCATCGGACGACGAGGTCGAGTGCTGCGACTGGGCATCCGCATCCAGATGGTTCCGCCCCAGACCCAGTCCCAGGCCGCCGGCCATGCCGCCCGTACTCTCCAGGCCCTGCTGCTCGAGGAGCGACTGATTCGAGTAGCTGGAACTGGTGCTATCCGAATGCGATAGCCGGATCTCCGTCCACTGTTCGATATCGTTGTCCGCCGGCGCTCCGCCGGCCGATGTCGAGACGGAAGCGGATCCCGAGGCCAGGGAACCGCTGCCCGACTTCACCTCGTAGGGGGCATGCAGGCCCAGCGGCCCCAGACCGGCCTCCCCATCCGCGGCACCGGTGCTGGCCGACTTGTGCATGCCGCCGGCCAGTTTCTGGGGGAAGGTGAGCACCGCCTCGAAGTCGGTCAGCAGATGGGGGCACTCGTGGTGGCCCAGGCGATCCGGCATGCGCAGGTACTCCTCCTCCTCCTCCTCCTCCTCGGCCTCCAACTCCGACCCCTGTTGCGACGAGGGTGCACCCTGAGGGGAGCTCCTTTCCTGGCCCGCCGACAACGTGTCCACCACGTCCACCTGGCGCAACATGGCCTCGTAGTTGAGCAGGTTGTTGCGCTGCTGGCGCTGCCGGTGGATGTCCTCGGAGATTTGCTCCAGGTTCTTTAGCGCCTCGTTGTACGTTAGCTTCGCCGCACTGACCTTCGCCTCCAGCTCGTTGACCCGCGTCTTCTGCGCCTTCAACAGTCCATTGTAGTTCGCCCGCGTCTCGTAGTACGGCCTGTTCGATATGATATCGAGGAATGGAATGCAATGGAATGGGATCGGATTGGATGCCATCGGTTGGGATTAGTGGTGCTGCCGGTTACTTGGAGCCAAATCGGCGATACTCACGAACAGAGGGTACAATACAAAGCGTGCATAATGCTAAAATATCTCAACAAAAGTAAATTGCGCTTGAGCTGCAATCTAAAAGAAGGAAAAAAAGAACGGAAGAGAGAGCAGTCCGCCGGGAAAATACGGAGCCAAGAACAAAATAAAAAGGTATAAACAAATTAGAATTAAATAAACGAGGAGAAAACTTAAAAGTTAAGATAAACTAAATGAAAAACAATAAAAGCTTAACCTCGGCAATGGGCCGAAATTCATAACTCCAGACAATTTGGGATATTTTGGGTACCTTACTTATCTTATTTTTGTGATTAAAAATATTTTGTTAACAATGATTTCATGGTTTCCTTAAATTCTAACTTTTATACTAAGTTTCAGTGCCTTTAGTCTTGAGAAATGGATTAAATTTTTAATTAAAAATCGAATTAATGTTATAATTATATAACTGAGGCTACCTTCAAATGCCTGTTTATATGAAAATATTCGGATTCCTCTTTTAAGATAAAGTATATAATGTTAAAATTATAAAAATAAACTATATATGGAAAATAAATATACATAACATTTCTTTTTAAGCCTGGTATTACTATGCATTATTAAACTATGCCCATATCAACAATTTGGAATATGATATCATATCATATCATATTTCCGATGATGAGAGGAACACATTTTTAAAGACTATACTTTGGTTTTGAAATTGTAGACCGGGAGTAGAAAGTTTTCTGGGTCACCAGAACTGGTTTTTCTGAGACACCTTCGAGTAAATTGACCTAGTTACCCTCTCCCCCTTTTGGTTATCCAAAAGGACACCCCTTGGACGTTACCTGGAGGCCCTGAGCGCCTGCTTGAGCTGGCCCTGGAGCTTGCCGACCCGGTTGTTGGCCACCTCCAGCTTCAGCTGGCACATCTTGAGGGCGTTGCGGGTGTCGGTGACCTCCAGCTGGGACTGGTTGACCTTGCTGGCGGCGTGGCTGAGCATCTCCTGGCAGGCGGTGTCCAGCGTCGACTTCTCGCCCAGGCCCTGCTCGGCCAGGTAGACCATCTCCTTGGCGGCGGCATGGATGGACTTGGCCTTCTCGTGGTTGGCGGCCGCCAGCTGCGTCTCCTTGGCCAGCTGGGCGGCATAGATGCGGGACTCGTAGTAGGGCTTGGCGGCATCGATGGAGTTGCCCAGCTTGTGGGCGGCGGCCTTGATCCGCACCACGCTCTCGGCCAGCAGGCGCTTGAACTCGCACTTGGCCTCCTGCTTCCCCGCGGGAATGGATTGGATGGTTGATGGAGATGGCAAGCAATACGGGTTTATAACTGGGGTAACTGGGGAAAAATCAATACTCGCCCACTCACATCGAGCTCCACCTCGTAGCGGTTGATGTTGTCCGTGGCGGAGTTCAGCTTCTCCAGCTCCACCTGCGGGTCAGCCAAGGATCAGTTTGGGGTCTATAGTGCACTAAAGATAGCTAGATATATAGGGGGTATCCCACCTGAACCCTTGGATCCACGGGCGTGTTGCTTTCCGTTGACATGACTGCTGATTCTTGGGGATCCCGCGATTTCACCGTGGCGTGCTGTGGATGCAGTGCAGCAATGGGGGGCAGCGGGTCTCTTCAGCGGGTCAGTTTCTGCTGCCAATTCGATTCGATTCCATTTCCACGGCAAATCGAAAGTGGCCAAGCAAATCGCAAATCAATTGGAATTGGGGATTGGATGCGAGCTTTTGCAGCGTTTGTTGTTGCGCAGTTTTGGCCAGCAGGAAAAGCTCCCGTCAGCTGCTCGGTGCCGTTACTAGGTGAAACTATCGATTACCCTCTGTTATCGCGATTATTTCAAATAACCTATATAATTAAAGCGCATATTGTTGGATTAGAAATTTTTAAAATAAAACTATGATTTTTATTTTAAAAAAAGTATAAAAGAAGATAATTAACATTTGAATATATTTATTTTTGATTTTATTTAGTAAAAAAGTTATTTTGAAATTGTTTAAGCAAGCAAATTACAAACAAAACTTATTTATTAATTTGTGTTATAAAAACTTTAGATGTTATTTATAATATAAAAATATGTGATCTCTGAAATGGTTAATCATAGGAATGGTTTTGATGGAAAATCCAACACACCATATACATAAAACACCTTAAGAAAATATAAGAAATGGCTCGGGCTTTATTAGTTTACATATATTTGTGTATATTTTTGATCTTTAAGATTAGCAAACTTGTTTTTTTAAATAAAATGATATTTAAAATAATTTTAGAACCATCGCCATAAGAATAGATACTTACTTTTATTTAAAAAGGGGATTAAAAAGGCTAGCTGTGCACTTTTATAAAACTTATTTCTTAGTTTTAACACATTTTGCTAAATAATTTATACATAAAGATGAGCTTATAATTATTAAAAACATAATAGATACATTTAAAAGTTCCCAAGGACTTACTATCGAAACTAAAAGCTCGATGGTATTTGGTAGGCCCAAATCTCCGATTCATCTGTGTTATCGTTATCGTTAACCCAGCTGCTGGCCATAAAGGAAGTTCACCCAAATAAAAATAAACCGATCCGATCCCAGCGGAGATGCAGTCGCGCAGCAAGTCCGAGATGAAGCCCATAAGAAAGGAGATTCTCAATCCGGGCAACAGCTACATTGAGCTAACCCCGGGCACCAGGGTGAGTGGCCAAGTCCGCAGGAAGTGCAACTTTTCAAGCAGGAGCAGCGCATAGCTGGGGGAAATTGGGCCAAGGACATTCCTCGGTGGGTGGTGCATCTACCTACCTATTCTCATAGCCCCTTTCTCCTTTAACCCCTTTCAGGTGAAGTTCCACTTCCAGACGCGCAGGGCCGGCGACACTCGCATCATCGACGACAGCCGCAAGATGGAGAAGCCCATGGAGCTGGTGCTGGGCAAGAAGTTCAAGCTGGAGGTCTGGGAGCTGATTGTGCAGCAGATGTCCCTCAACGAGGTGGCCAAGTTCACCGTGCACAAGTCGGTAAGATATTGCTTAGAGTTCCCAGATGTAATCCGATCCCGATTGACCTACTTTTCCTGCTGCTTCCCCACACAGCTCTGCGCCCAGTATCCGTTCATATCGAAAACGCTGCGCGACATTGGCAAGAAGCCCGAGGAGCGACGCCACTGCTGCGGCATGACGCTGCAGAACGAGGGCATTGGTTACCCCGATCTCGACGAGCTGCTCCAGAATCCCTCCGAGCTGGAGTTCATCATCGAGCTGATCTCCATCGAGCTGCCCGAGCAGTACGAGAAGGAGCGCTGGCAGATGTCCGACGATGAGAAGATGCTGGCCACCAGCACGCTGCGCGAGCGTGGCAACAATTTCTACAAGGCCAGTCGGTTCACCGAGGCGGAGACCTGCTACCGCGAGGCCGTGGGCATTGTGGAGCAGCTGATGCTGAAGGAGAAGCCCCACGACGAGGAGTGGCAGGAGCTGGCGGCCATCAAGACGCCGCTGCTGCTCAACTATGCGCAATGTCGGCTGATAGCTGGCGACTACTATGCCGTGATCGAGCACTGCAACGAGGTGCTCACCCTGGATCCGCGCAATGTGAAGGCCCTGTTCCGGCGGGCCAAGGCTCATGCTGGTGCCTGGAATCCGGCACAGGCACGTCGCGACTTCCTCGACGCTTTGGCACTGGATGCCACCCTTAAGACGACCGTGTCAAAGGAGCTGAAATCCATCGAGGATCAGCAGCAGGCCCGTAACGTCCAGGATCGCATTCACATGCAGAAGCTCTTCTAGAACATAAGTTGCGTCAACGTGCTGCTCATGCTGCTTGTCTATTGGAGCAGCTACCTGCAGCGCTAGCAGTACCTGTCCCTGCCCCCCATCCTGTTGCTGGCCGTCAGCTTTGCCCACGGCCTCGTGCTGCTCTGCTCGCTGGCCAACCTATTCCTCTGCTGCTGGACGCTCAAGAAGCTGCTGCGGGCACTGCGACTGGCCAGCCGGTGACCAGAGGCAAGAGATCAACACAATCAACTTAGGTACCACCTCATTCTGTGAGAGCTGCATTTCGGAACACTATACACTATATACTATACTATACTCATCCTTCGCCTCGAATCACGTTCATTTTCCACGATGTAGGCTAAAATCTCGAAGTATATTGTAAATGTAACATCCAGATGGATGATGATGATGTATACATGGAGTGTAAGATGTTGTTCACGTAGCGTTTACCAAAACAGGAATCAAATGTCCATAGTCGTATGTGTATGTTTGTATAATGTTTATCCACATATGCGATATTTACCCGTAGCTAGAATCTACTCTAAGTCTAGACAAATTCTATATAAGATGTAATAAATGTGCTTGATGCTGTCTAATTGTTAAATGTAGTATGCGATAAGAATGCGTAATAATATGCATTAGCATAAGGTATTAAATTGTGTAAAATAAATGTGTGTATCCTTCTCAACTGACAGCAATTTGTTTAAGCCTTTTCTAGGGGTTTTAAAAGATAAATAATATTGGTTTGTGATATCGTTTGCGGTTGGTGGTTAGCTGACCTACATAAAATTATCGCCTTAACCATGTTGAAATACTTTTAAAGATAAACTTTTAATGGGACATATGGTTATAAAGGAAAATTCAGAAAACTTATGGTCTTCTAAATATTTGAAGTTCAAAATTAAATCCAATCATTCCATATAATCTTGCAGTTCTTTAAGTCTTGGAATTCATAGGGTTATGGTTATATAAACTATACTCTTAAAACTGATCAGGATCTTCTTTTTTATATCTTAATATTAATAGTATGCCTCTACAGATCTCAAAGTTTCCACGTTTTTGACCATATAACCTTGACTTTTATAGATTACCAGGATTATACATTTTCCTATTACCTAAATAACAACACCAAAACCCAATTTAATATTAAGTTCGATTTACTAATTAAAAATCACGATTAAGCGGCATCGTTAACGATTAATATACACAATAAATACACGAAGATTACGGGCTAGGAAAATCTTTGGAGACCATTAAGTATGTGGATCCGTACGGCGGCCCTACAGCCGCCACAGCCGGCTGCTGTTGCCCCCGGTGGCGCCCTCGGCCTCGCCGCGCAGCTTGTTGTCGTCGGTGCGCCAGACGAAGGGCTCCAGTCGGTCCTCGTCGTCCAGGAAGTTGTTGATCGCCTCCAGGCTGGCAATGTTCTCGTGCAGCAGCGAATTGCAGCGGCTCAGCTGATGCGACACGCTGCGTATCTTGGCGAACTGCTCGGCGTACGAGGCGTACGTCTTTTGCATGTCCACGAAGCCGGCAAAGAGTGTGGTGATCGAGTTGCTCACCACCTTGGTGCGCTCGACCAGGTGATTCTGTTCGCTGGCCACATAGCTGGCGCACAGATTCAGATGCGTCTGCATGCGGGCACATATGTTGACCAGATGCTGCGAGTGCAGTCGCTCCAGAATCTCCGCATCTCGCGTATAGGTGGCCGAGGCTATGGACTCCCTGAGCACGGGCAGGAACTGCGGAATGTTGCGCAACCGGGCCAAGTCAAGATCCACATCCTCGCCAGCATCGCTGGCACCGGGACGCACTATCACAATGTTGTGACTGGAGGCGGTGGACTGCGGCCGCTTGGGTTTGATGGCACTGGTGATGCCGCCGGGATGCGACTTCCTGGCTGCCGCCCGGCTGGCGCTGCTCTGCTGCAGCATGTGCGCCGGCTTGCTGCGAATCTTGGGCGAGTCGCCGATGGGCCGATCCGTGTAGGAGACATATGGCAGGTCGGAGCAGACGCTCAGCGGCGGCGATGGCGGTCGGCTCAACTCGGAGCCGCCGGGCGAGGCTGCCTCGGCGATGATCTGCTTGCTAGCTATCACTATGCTGGCTCCGGGTGCTGCTCCCACCGCTGGGTTGCCAGGCAATCCTCCAATTCCAACTCCTCCTGCCGACTGCTGGCGATGGCCGACTCCACGTCGCTTGTTGGCCGCAGCCGTGGCCGCCAGCATCATGGTGCTGCCATCGCCGAGGGCTCCTGGCCCGCCGGCCTGGCCAATGCCCAGCGGCTGGCGGCCATCGAAGATCTCGTGGCCATCGGCCTCCGCCCGCTGCTGCGAGTGCTCGGCGCCCATTTATCGATCCGATTGCTGCGCGTCCCCACTGCAAATCCTCGAAGGTTGCTCCTTGGTCGCTGGCGGGGTCACTGCTGCTCTCCTTGGCACACCTGCTGCGTCATTTCCAGCGGTCAGAGGCTGGTTATTCACTCCCAAAAACAAATCGATGCCAAAGCCTAGCAAGAAATCCAATCCCAACAAAGTTCCAATAAGAAACTAAAGTACTTCCAATTGCAAGGGCAAAAAGCACTAGTGCCTTTTTTTGACTTCGAAAAAATACCACTGGTATTAAATACCAATTATGAGCCATACCCACTGCAGCTCATATTTGTACATTTTACATAGAGGTTATTCCCTTGGAAAATAGTTTAATGTATTTTAAAATTAAAAAAAAATGTCCGATTTAAAAAATTTATAGCTAAATAATTAAAAAACTAAGATGATCAACCATTTTTTGGTACTTCAAAGTTTGTCTTAACTAATATAATAAATAAATAAATAATATAATAAAAAACTAAATCGTAGATCAACAATTTATTACATTATTTAAACAAAAAATGTAATAAAAAATAAACGTTAAAACAACATTTTGAAATTTCTGAAATGTAGAGCTTGTTTATCATAATATATTCAACAAGTTGGAATTTTAAATTTAGTTAATAATATATTATTCATAACTACCAAGACCTCAAGAACCCTAAGTAATAGGGTATAGAAATGTAAAATAGATAACGAAAATGATATCTGATTGCTGGCGTTACAAGTTTAAGTTCGAGACGGTATTTGTATACACATTAGGGTATTGACTGTATAAATAGAGAGGCGTCATAGAGGGGCAGATAAGCATACGCGATAAGTAGAAAGCGTTCTCCCTGAGCTTCCGTATGGATTCGCCAGTGTTTTCGTGGTCGTTCTAGCGTTCGAGGTGCTAATTCAGCATCAGATTGGGTTTCGGTTTCGATTTCAGCTCGGGGAGAATTCAGCAAAGTTAGTTGGCCGACGACCGCGATCGCGATAGCAACACTTTCACCCAGCAAAACGGATCTATAATGGTAAACAAAGTTTTTAATAGAGTAATCTTATCAAGCCATTCCATCAAACACAACCCACATAATTACAATAGTCTACTATAGTTTTCCACCAAAAAAAAAACAATATAGATATCTTCATAGATATGATCTTGACAAAAAATCTTTTAAAGTAAAATTAAAAACGTCTTACATTTTAATATATATTATATTTTGAAAATGAATTCTAAAAAAGTTAACATTTTTGTTTTTTTGCTATTGACATGTAGTTGAAGTTAAAATATTAATAGGGTTTTTTATTTAAATAATTTATTGCCTGTTGGGTTAGAAAATGTAAAGTAATTGCCTGAACTTTAAGCTTTACTGATGTTGACCTAGGTTATGAATATACATTGACATTATTCATACGTTCTCGGAAAAAATGGATACGTAAAATGTGTTTTGTTAGCAAAAACAGTGTCAAAAGATTTTTTTAAATAAAATATTACTCTAAAAAATATAAGTAAAATAAACTTTTTTATGAAGCGTTTAACTTTAAATGTTTATAGTCTGTTTTTGTGGCAAAAGCGGAAATTAGGTTTACAACATAATAATATATTAAGACTAGAAAAATAAAAAAAATTAATTAATATTACTTGTAAATATTTTTTTTAATGACAAATTGTATTATTTTCTTCCTCAGGCCAAGCCACAGCACATCCTGCAGCTGAGTGAGGAGCAGCGGAGCAGCTTCGTCGGCTCCTTCGACCGGGTGCTCAGCGACATCGATGGCGTCCTGTGGACCATGGAGCACAATGTGCCGCGGGCGGCCGACGGATACGCCGCCCTCGAGCGGAACGGAAAGCACCTGACCTTCGTGACCAACAACAGTGTGCGCACGGTGGACCAGTGCATCAGGCGCTTCGCCAAGATCGGGATGCAGGTGCAGCCGGAACAGATATGGCATCCGGCCCAGTCCATCATAAACTATCTGCGGGGCATCAACTTCCAGGGTCTCATCTACATCATCGCCAGCCCGCCGTTCAAGGCGGTGCTCCGCGAGGCGGGATTCCAGCTCCTGGATGGGGTGAGTTCTTGCTAAGGATTGAGATTAAGCAGGCATCCTTTCGGATTACTAGGGGGTGGATTGGGAATCGGGTTCTTAGTGTGCCTAGTTGGTTGGAAAACAACCAGATCCCAAAGTTTCAGGCTTTCTCGTCCAACATATTCGTCTTTAGATCGACTATCACTTTTTTTGTAATGGCATTTTATATAAATATATGATTTTAGAACAATGTAAAAAGCCTTTAAATTGAAAACCCCCAGTTTTGAATTTTTTTTCAATTTAATATATTTAGTTGATAAAATTTAATGTTTCCAAATCAATAATTTTATTTTTTTGTGTACAAATATTATTTTATTTATTTATCATACATATATAACTATGAATTTTTAACCAAAGCAAAAGATCTTTAAATTCGAATCCCTCAATTTTGAGTTTATATTTGAAATTAGGTTTTTTCAATTCTAGAAAATGTATGCTTTCACATACAACAATTATCTTTAGCTTGATTATCTCTTTTTTGTATGGGAACTTTATATGTATAAGCAAAAATGACTTAAGTTTTTATTTGAAATTACTTTTAAAAAAAACTTTTATAATATTTTATTGATTTGATTTATTTGTAATAACAACTACTTTATGATTTTCATTTATAAAAACAAATTTGATGTATTATAAACTTTTAAAAAATGTTCCTTACAGCCAAACGCGTTCATCGAGGATAACTTCGAGAGCCTGGCCAAGAACATCTTCGATAAGGAGCCGGTTCGTGCCGTCGTCATCGACGTGGACTTCAACCTAAGCTCCCCGAAGATGCTGCGGGCCCATCTCTATTTGCGTCATCCGGAGTGCCTGCTGATTGAAGGCGCCACGGATCGTCTGCTTCCGGTGGCCAAGGGCGTGAATATCATCGGACCAGGGGCCTTCGCCTCCATTTTGGTGGAAGCCAGTGGCCGACAGGATCGTTGCATTACGCTGGGCAAGCCGGGTCGCGAACTGGGCCATCTGATTGTGGAGCACTACAAGATCGATCAGCCCAGCCGGGTGCTCATGATCGGTGACATGTTGGCCCAGGACATTGGCTTTGGGCGCCAGTTCGGATTCCAGACCCTGCTCGTCCTCAGCGGCGGATGCACGCGGGAGCAGCTCCTGGCGGAGACAGATCCCCGGCACATCCCGGACTTCTATGCGGACAGCATGGCCGATGTGGCCCAGCTGCTCGGGGAGGCGCCCAAGGCGCATGTTTAATCGGTGGAATTGGTGGAAAAAATATTGGAAAAAGAAAGGAGTGCTAGGTTTACAATGTATTGGGTACCTGGGAAATGATTCATTATTGTTATCATCACAATACCGTATTTTATTCGTTATCTAAAATATAACTCACACTAAATAAGAAAAAAAAAGGCTATACTTATGTAGAACTTGGGGATTTCAGGAAGGTAAAGCTCTTCCAATCGTTGCATTCTCTGTAACCATTCATGTAACTATTTATAAATCTATTTCGAGTTGATGCAGTCATGTGCTGAATCACCCCACATTTTATTGGGCATCTGTAATAAAACTCACACCAAACAAACAAAACAAAATTACTCAAAAAAGTAGAGACGATCGGTCGAATTTAAGGGGTTCCTCAGGTTTAAGTCCTAGAAAAACTATGAAAACTTTCACTAATTCTAATTATTCGTATTCAATATGGAACATTTTATACAGTATATGTACTATTTCGACAGATATAAACAGTTATATACATAAATATTTTTTTAAAACGATGAGATAATCGAATAATATAATATAATAATATATATATATATATATTATATATATATATTATATATATATATATATATATATATTATATATATATATAATATAATATTTATTATATGTTACATTTTGACTCAAAAAAAATAATTTTATATTGATCCAGTATAAACCAGAAATGCATTGTACAAACAAAATTAAATGATTTCACAAAAATTTGAGGATCTTTTGGAAATATTTTATATTTCCTATATATATATTGACTTTTAAAATTCAAGTTTTAATTCCAAATTCCGTATAACACTTTATATTGATCGGTTATGAAGTAGAGATGCATTATACAAATAAAATCAAATGATTTCCAAAATCTTGAGTTTGATTAGATTTAGTTTGTTGTTTACTCCGACACATAGTAACCTGCTGATTAAAATCTAAAACACTAATGGTTTCTTACGATTAAAGTTCCGTGGCAAGGTGTGACAAACACTCGAAGCGCTATCAAGTCAAATGCGTCGAGTCAGAATTACTCGATTTCGGATTATTGGGTGCGGAGGTGGGTGCTATCTGGCCCAGGCAATCGGCCAGATAGTCGGGCATCTGGGGATGGTCAGCCGGCAGTCGCTGGACATCCTCCAGCTTTGTGCCGCCAGTGAGGACGAGGAGCGTCTGGTAGCCACTGGCGCGGGCGAATCCTATGTCGCTGGCCAGACTATCACCCACGAAGAGCACGCGGCTCGGCGGGATTTCCGGGTGACGATCCAGCAAGAGCCTGCGCAGATCCTCACCTGGCTTGCCCAGAGCTGTGGGCTGACGACCAACGGATTGGGACACCACATCTATAAAGGCTCCAGGTCCTGTTTTAAAAAAGAAAATGGGAAATTTTATTATATATTTCTTAATTTTAGTACCTATAAAATGGTTTTTTTTCTTTTTAATTTTTTAAATTTTGGTATTTTTTGGTATTATTATTTTATATTTTGTTCCATTAAAAATTGTTAAGAATTTTTTTTAGGACTCAAGAACCAAAAAATGTTAACAATTTTTTCTTTTTCATAATTTAATACTTAAGAATTCCAAGTTACAAGTTCGCTACAATACTGTTTTATATATTTTTCATAAGTAATACCTATAATCTCGCCCTTTCCGAAAGGTATAAGGGCATCTGCAGCTCCGGCTAGAAAAAGGCACTTGGGATTCTGCAGCTGGACATGGGCTCTCATCAATTTGGCAGCCGACAGATTAAAATCCACATCGATGATGACCGCATCCACAGAGGCGCCGGAGAAGATGGCCTCGTGCAGATCCTTGAGGCCCCTAATGATCCCAGTACCGCTCTATGGAGATGCCTTGAAGTGATCAAGAAGCTTTCGAACATCTTGATTTTGATCAACTCACATCTTCTGTCAGCCGAAACCCGGCAGCCATAAGGAGTTCCTTAAAAGGGGGCGTGGCCAGGCAGTAGATAAGTCCCTGAAAGTTAATGGACCTCAGATGATCGCAGATAGTTTGTGCAGGATGGACGATTTGATGCTGGCGATAAGGTGAGAGAGAATACTATATTATGTACAATATATTTGGGATCTAACTTAAAAATAATATAGTATTATAGAAACACATATAAATATACTTAAAATATCTCTTATCTTGAAAGTATTACAGTGCTAGGGTATGGTTTTTAACCCCCACTTACCTCGTCAATCTTGAGGTTACCCTGTTTCTCGAACTTTTCGATGTGCTCCTTCACCGAACTGATGCTGTTGTTGGTCACAAAGGTCACCTGCTTGCCGAGTAGCTTCAAATGGGCCAAAGCCTCAGCGGAACCGGGAATAAAATCACGCAAGGGATACCAAACCACTCCTAGGGGTAGAGAGGATCCCTAATAAAGATACCACTTAACTGGCTATCCATTAACTCACCATCGCAATCGCAGAAGACCAAATCAAACGAGTCAAAGAAATCGCCGAGCTCATCTACACTCAAAGTCTTCAGATGTTTGGCCTGTAGATGAATTTAAATGGTATTATCTAAGAGAATTTATATATTATCTTTTCCGGTTTGGTTTTTTTTTTAATAGGAAATCGGGGAGCAGGGGTCCCAGTTAAGTATCATATCCAACCAGATCGATGATCTCTGTTCTATTATTCTGCTTTCCATTCTACCCACCGAACTCATGTCGATCGAGTGATGGAAAAGCGACACAAATCCGGATTTGGAGAGGTTTTGGCGAGGGATTCCGATTCCTAGCAGCTCAAGGTTCCAGTCCAGCGATGCGACTCAACCACATTGCCAGCGACAGATTTATAACTAAGTCCAGCGAGACGAGTGTGCCTCGAGTCTGTCTGGAAGACCCAAGCCAAGCAAAGAAAATTGCTCGCCATGGAAGGGGTCCGATTGCATTACACATTCACACATTCCAAATTGCATTAGACCAGCAGTCGGTCCGTTCAGATTGGGGGCGAACACTGCAGTTTAAGATGGAGCAGATATTTTAAGAAATTTACGCACCATCCAAAAAAATATCAGAACTACAGGAATCCGTCTATATCTGGATCAAAAACATCGTCCCTATAAGTCTGCATTACCATTTCGAGCTTTAAGTGTAAGTACATTGATTTAAAATGGAACAGATATTAAAGGAACATCCACACTATCCAAGTAAATATTAAAACTACAAGAATTTGTATATATCTGGATCTAAAACATTTTTCTACAACGTTTTTATAAGTCTAAATTAACATTTTGGGTTTCAAAGAGAAAATGTATGGATTTAAAACGGAACAGATATAACAGATTGTTTTAAAATGGAACAGATATTATAGGAACATCAATACCATCCAAACAAATGTGAAAACTAAAGGAATACTAAAAAATCAGAATCTAAAACGGCTTAAAACCAAATATTTCAACAACTTTTAGAGAACCCCACATCATTATGTTATTTTTAAAGTTTAAATACTTTTTCCAGTGTAGTTACACCTCATTTGTTCGTAATCCATGGGTTGTTCGGCAGGGAATGGGGTGTCAAAGGGGTAGTAAGTGGTGTCTCTGTCAATTGAATGTTGTCCAGTAAAGTCGCTGGTCAGCGTTCCAATTGATTTGCTTTCATCGCCTTTCAATTGAGCTCATTTCTTGACATCTAATCTAGAGCATCCGGTATAAGCCTCACAAAAAATACTCAAGATATCCGAAAATCAACCATCCCATAGATAAAGCCCTGGATATTTTCGCTCAAATCACTGTTAACATTGATGGGGTTAAACCCATTTTTTATTTGTTATTTTTGTTTTTAGTTCACATGCAGACCAGCACTCAACACAATCCGTTTCTGGCTTAATCCCTATCGTAATCGTAGTTGTTACCATTATTATTATTATTATTATTATTGGTATCGTATAAATATGTTTATCAAAACAACAATTCACTATAGGTGTACGTACTGGTAAGTAGCATTTAGAGTTCTACAAAATATTGCGAAATGTGCAATGCTCTCGCTTGGCAATAATCAACAATAAAAACAATGGATTAGAGGGAGAGGATGAACCATATGTCTGAGTTCGCTTTTCGGTTGTGGGCAACATTGTAAGGTACATTGGATTGTTTCTTAGTGTTTTAATGCTAGCATATTTTAACCTGCACACATTTTGTGGTGTATAATTCGTTTTCGAGTTGTTCATGATCGACATCGATCCATCATGGAAATACGTTGATTTAAATTATAAATACTCCTCTTTAATGCACTTTGGACGTGTGTATAAAATGTAAAAATATTCAAATACATATCTCTTTAACTGTATTTCGTTGTGTGCTGCTAAAGCGACTTGGCCACGCAGTGATCTCATGGGTTAACGACGGTACAATTCCCTTGGCTCCTTCCGGGAGTTGCGTGAATCTTTCGTACAAAATACATACAACATCAATCAATCAATCAAGTAGCAATATAAAACCTCGTGTGTGTATATAAAAATGCAATTGCTTGACTCGGGTCATCGATACCCCACATTTCGTTGAGCATTTCCAATGCAAACACAGTACAAAAATCATCTTAAGTACGAAGCACAACTTCCATGCGATAACGTTGCGACAATACCCTAGATATTCGCGTGTCGGTATATACAAAAGTTCAGCTAACTACGTGTTATTACTGGAGAGAAACCAAGGAATGATCTGATGAACATGCAGCTCCCACAGCTCGCCGCCGATCCTTAAACAAAGGTGCTGGCATCGTCGCGCCTTCGGATCACTGTCGTCTCACTTGGGGGCTCCGACTTTTGTGGCCCCGCCACCTCCGTCTGGGCCATCTTCATGGCGTGCTGCTTCTCGTACTCGATGATGTGCTCCCGCAACAGGAAGTTCTCCCGCTTGATGCGCTTCAACAGGCGTCCCGAAACATCCGGCACGGCCCAGCGGAGGATGCCCTGCAGCATGGTGATAATGTTCTGCGGGGAACAAGAACAGAGTAAGCTAACAATTCAATTATAGTGATTACTACGCTGCCTCGCACCTGGTAGATAACGATGAAGGCCAGCCGACCCGTCAGTATCTTCCAGTATATCATGGGACGCTTGTAGGGATGCTCATCTGTCGGCGAGTTGCGGAACTCTGTGTAGCGGCACACCGTCTCATTCACATGCTGGCTGCCTCCCAGCAGAGGCTGCACCTGGAAGTCCTTGGTGTTGAACACAGCCAGCGTGAAGTTCAGATAGTTGTTTAGCTCGTGATCGCCCATGGAGGCGGCGTACACGATTTTCGGTATGAGGTTCGTGCTAAATGCGATTATCATTGCCTGCAGAGGAGATGGGAATATGGGATTAAACAACATCATGGCATGGCATGGTAATGCTGACTCACACTTGAGGCCACGGCTATGCGGGTGACGACGGTCATGATGCTGTGCCAAACGCCAATGTCGCGGGCTCTCATTCCCACCGGTCGTCGCAGGAAGCGCAGCATCTTGATGGCGTCCAGGCGCACCTCTATCACATTGTTCAGCAGGGCCAGCAGCGGAGCCAATGGGAAGGCCAAGCTAAACAGGGTGATGAAGCCGAATTGCACAACTGCGAACGAGATAATTTATTATTAATATTAGAAGACAACCTATTAAAACTACAATCCATACCCATTTCGAGGTATTCCACGTAGAGGGAATTGTTCTCGGCGGGCAGTAGGTTATAGTCCTCGGTGAACTGGTTGTAGGGCACCAGACGCTGGTCCTGGTGACTCTTGTACCAGCCATGACGGTAGCTCAGCTCCTTAAAAGTGCGCATCAGATATGGAATCAGCATCTCCACAATGGCATTAACCGCCTGCTTGCCAGCCATTATGATCACCAGCTGCATGCAGAGCTCCATGAGGCAGCCGCCGGGATTGCATTCCTCCTGGCGGAAGCCCAGCACGCGATTGTACTTGGCCGGATAGCCAACGAACTTGCCCTTCAGGAAGGCAATGTAGAAGAGCGAGGAATAGTAATTGACAAACTGGAACACATAGTTTTTGATTGTTAGGCTCTCATCGTACTCCGTCTGGGTGCGACAGTACTCGTAGTTGGTAAGCTTCACTGCCAAACTGGAGTAGACCATGTCCAGCAGAGAGATCACTATAAGGTCAATCACGCCCGCCGTCATGGGCAGGATCATAACCTTAAAGGTCATGGAATTCTCGCTGCCCAGAATGCTGTGCGAGGCTCGCTGTGCCATTCTATAGATGATTATGCCCGCTATGGCAATGACTGATATGCAAATCTACAAGAAAAACATATAAGAACACACCTCCTGTGGAAGGAGAACTAAAGATATACTCACAAACAATATCATTATGCTATAACTAGTAAAGTTGGGCAGGAACTTGATGCTCCAGAAGGGCACGTCTGGATCCAGGACGCTCGGCTTGCCATTCTGGTCCTCTTCATACGCCTTCCCGGCCAGCCTTCTGGAACGTGATATTTTGGCCAAGTACTGCGGACGCGGGTGCTCCACGTGGTGGGTGAAGCCAGTCAGCCCCCAGCGGTGCACCAGACCCGCTGAATAGCGCTTCCAGAACTCCAGGTATACCACCGCCCAAATGGACATCAGCAGGGCGAACACCACGGTCGATTTGTTGTCTATCAGATAGTTGAACTTGGAAGACGTGCAGGTCTCGTTTAGCCGCCAGTAGTCGCAGCTTCGGTCGCACTGCGGGCACATGATCGTCCCATTGTCGCTACAAATGTCCCGGCTAATCGGATCGCTGCTCCACGTGATGAAGCCGTAGAGGAAGCAGAGCACTCCGAACACGCTGATGGGGATCAGCATTTGCGTGTAGAATCCCAGCCAGGCGAAGTATAGTGCAACCTTCGCTCCGAAGTAGTCTTTGATTTGGTCCAGTGGTTGCAAGCTGTAAAAATAGATGGGTCGTATTATTAGTTGGTTTTTTTTTACCTATTTTTATTGCTAACCTAATGATTTAAAAATTTCTTTTGATAAATAAACTTAGAAGAACATTGATATACCCAAAATACATATGAATCTATTTGTATAAAAGCATATACATATATCAATATTTCAAAATCTAATGATGTATACAACTGTAAACATAGGTTTGGAACCAGGTTTTATTGCATTTCCACTTGCAGCTGCCTATTTTGTTTTCCTAACTCCAAGCTTGCCTCCAAACCAACTTTTCACAGCTCATATTTCGCTATGCAAACTACCCTTCCAAGAATCTACGATACGGAAAACTCCAATGTCTGCATAAACAGAAAGAGCATCATATTCTTACTTCTTCCACTTGGATATGTTGGCCCACTCCTTGAGCAGACGATCGCGATCGTCTTTCTGTAATACAATATAGAGACTATAAGTAGGAAGTAGTGGATCTATATATAAATGGAATCATACATCATGCAGTGTATAGGCGCAGGTGTATACGCCATCCTGGACGAGCTTCTCGATGCCCAGATTGTCGGCCGTCTCCTCGCCCTCGACGAAATGCTGGCGCTGGAGAATGAAGTTGATGATGAAGTAGCGGGTGCCGGCATCCAGGAAGTTCGGGTGCTCCGTGTCGTACAGCTCCAGGTAGTTGCGGGAGAACTCGAAATGGATGCGCGGTTCGCGCTCCGGGAAGAGAGCCGTATTCAGCTGCACGGAGCTGAACAGGCTGCGGCACATGCGGGTGAAGCAGGACTTGAACTCGTGCGCCGACTCGGCAAAGATTTGGTCCTGGCCGGGAATCGGCTTGAGCGGCACCTTTATCTTGAGTATCTCCGCATAGCGATATAGCACCTCCGCCGGAGCATGGATCTTGACGAAGTGTACCCGCTGCACCTTGTTGTGCTCCAGCTGCAGACCCTCCCGCTGCAGGTTCGCCTCG